GGTTGCGCGGGCACCGGACAAATCGCACTCTCGCTTGCATTTCGCGCACTCGACACGCACGATCTCCGCAGAGGGTTGCGCGCGCATGGGACAAATCGCACTCTCGCTTGCATTTCGCGCACTCGACACGCACGATCTCCGCAGAGGGTTGTGCGCGCATGGGACAAATCGCACTCTCGCCTGCATTTCGCACACTCGACACGCACGATCTCCGCAGAGGGTTGCGCGTCAAGTCTCCAAAACGAGTGTTTCGTACGAGACTTCCTCAAAAACTCACACGTCACAATGTCTGCAAAAGGAGCGTTTCGTTCGAGACTTCCTCCAAAAGTCTGGCGGAAACACCCATCGGAGCACACACATCACGCAGCCCTGCCAAGCAGTTTCGCGATTCCAGCCCCTCCAAACAACATCCGCTCACACGCCAATCCCAATGGGACAGCGACATTCACCTCTACCACAACTCACAACCTCACAATTCCCTGCGCCTGCCACGAATCTTTCCCCATCCGCACGTCTAACGCGCACAAAGTACTGTGCCTGCCACGAAATGTCACCTCCCCTCACACCTCGCAACCTCACGATTCCCTGCGCCTGCCACGAGAATCGCACTTCCACGCTTCAAAGCCCGCACGAAGTCCTGCGCCTGCCACGAAAAGTGACAATATCATCGCATGTGAGCTTCAACAAAATTTGCACCACACCACACGTTTGGAATAATTTCGACCCGTTCAGAGCACCGTCCCCTCCCATTTCAGCTGAGACTTGTCACGAAAACAGAGCTTCGATGCCGCACCCTGAAACGCAAATCCAATGTCCCGTGGGTGTCTAACGTTGCCTTCGGAAGCCCATAGAAAAAGCTTTGAAGAAGCTTTGTGGGCCAAGCTGCGGCCTGCAGAAACGTTTGTGGGCGGGCCCCGTGGGTGAAGAGAAGAGGCAGGCTTCGGACAGGCCACAGAGAGGCCGAAGCAGGCCTGCCGGCTGCCGAGAAGCCTTTGAGGGCGGGGCCCGTGGGTGTCTAACGTTGCCTTCGGAAGCCCATAGAAAAAGCTTTGTGGGCCAAGCTGCGGCCTGCAGAAACGTTTGCGGGCGGGGCCCGTGAGTGAAAAGAAGAGGCAGGCTCCGGACAGGCCACAGAGAGGCCGCGTTGCCTTCGAAAGCCCATAGAGGAAGCTTTGTGGGCCAAGCTGCGGCCTGCAGAAACGTTTGCGGGCGGGGGCCGAGAGGGGTTTGGGGGCGGTCCACCATGCCTAACGTTGCTTTCGGAAGCCCATAAGAAGAGAAGAGGCAGGCCTGGGACAGGCCAAGAGAAGAGGCAGGCTTGCCAGCTGCCGAGAAGGGTTTGAGGGCGGTCTAAAATGCCTAACGTTGCTTTCGGAAGCCCATCAGAAGAGAAGAGGCAGGCCTGCCAGCTGCCGAGAAGGGTTGGAGGGCGATCCAAAATGCCTAACGTTGCTTTCGGAAAAGCCCATAAGAAGAGGAGAGGCAGGCCTCGGACAGGCCACCGAGAGGCCGCTGCCAACCACAATGCACCTGCACACATGCCTTTGGAAGTGCTTGGAAGGGTTCTGCAAGGCTTGGCCAACTGCTTCACCCTGCGGTGTCCCAGGCGCCTCCCCGCCTAGGCTTTGGCTATAGGCCGGGGTCGGCGGATATGGGCATAGACTCATAGACAACTAGGACCAGCTTAGGTATGATCAGCACTTCATGTCAGAGACGGAACATCGAACGGAAGGGTCCAGAGGAGCTTCAGCCCAGGTGCCTGGGCATGGCATTTTGACCTCGGAGAAGTGTGCCTGGCGAGATTCTCCCCTGATGCAACTGGCTGAGGCACATCCGACGGATTTACATGAGATCACGGCATGAGATCATTAGATCGATGAAAGGACTCCAGTGAAGCTTTTATAGAACGTCCTTTTCTGCACCAACTCTTTTGACATTTGTCACTTTGGGCTTCAAGAGGGCGCCTTGCATAGAAGCCAGGAAGCATAGTTGGGATCGATCTCTTTTTCAGAAGTATGTAGTGGTGGCACTGGCCTTTTTTATGGGCCTGGTCTTTATGTATATAGCGGAGTTTGTTCACACACATGTTGTTTAAAGTTTTTTTTGCACAGATGTTTGATGCCAATGCTTTTCAAAATTGACTTGTATCGGGAGCACTGAGGGCAGTGTTATCATTGCGATGAAGATGTATGTGTGACTAAATTTTTGATCGAAAACTAGTTATATAGCCGCGCCATTTGGGTATATTGATGATTGTTGTGCTTGCGATGAAGATGCTGGCTCCACGACTTGTCTCCCATGCCCACAGGTCCCGGCCTTGTCAGCTCACTACGAGCGCCATGGCCCGCGGATGGAGGCTTACTTCTTGCGATGCTCGGTGGGAGATGGCGCGATGTTTTTTATTTTTTGTTTCTATTTTTTAAAGGCACGGTGGCAAGGAGATGGTTTTTCTTGTGTCACAAAAAAGAAACATCAAGGATGCTCATCCAATGGACCGCCTAGCCCGCTCACTTGATTCACTACCAGAGGAGTGGAAAAGTCCTTTTTAACGACCTTACTGTGACCGCAAAGGTTGATGAATACCAGGGCTTCCAGAACATCTCATGTGCCTCCAGCGGCTTTTTGCCATAGATGTTCCTTTTGTGCGTGCAAGGAAGTTTGATTTCAAGCAATCCTTCCAGAAACAAGCTAGCATATCATCTGGGGCGACCATTCTCATCCGTTGGTGGGAAAGACCCCTGAGGCTCGGGTGGTTTTCCTTGTTGCTGATGCAGGTGAAGGGGTGAAGGGTAAACAGAGTTAAGGCTGTCCCTTCACCCACAACTCCCGGATGAGGGTGCGTGATTGAACTTGGGAAGACGCTTGAGTTAACACTTTCACCTTGAGTTAACACTTTCACATCAGATTGACTTCCCACTGTGCAAATGGGCAAGATTCTTCGAAGAAGAGACATGCCCTGCCATGCCACGAACTCTCAACGCCCAGGCCTGGTGAAGCTACATTTCTCCTTCTCACCTCCGCACCTGCTGCATGCCCTGCGTCGGCTGGTGGAGCGGGTGCGAAAAGAGGGCGGGCGAGGGACGGTCGTCTCGGGGATCCAGGAGGGGCTCACAGAGGGAACCATGGACGACAGGCAAGGGAAGCATATGGAACTCTCAGATGTTGAGTGCCAAAAAACAGCACACGGAAGGTGATTTCTTGGAAGGTGTACTCATTTTTTCGTCTTGGGTAAGCTTGGGTGTATGGAGATCAGGTTGGAGGCCATCGCTGATCTCGACAGGTCAACTCGGGGGACTCGGCGGTGCCGGGTCAGACTGGCCTGGATGGACTGTTGGAGACGGCGACTGGGAGCTTGGGCTGCACTGTTGGCGACAGCACTGCTGTTGGCGACAGCACTGCTGTTGGCGACAGCACTCGGTTTCCAAGTTGAGAACTACATCAACAGTGAGGTTTCAGGTCTGTTTTTGAAAGCATTGGGCAGCCAAAAGTTGTTCCTTGGGGTGCGCAAGATTCGAAGAACTCTATGGCACAGCTTTTCCCAAAGGGTGCACAGTTGGATGAGATTTGTGTTGGGGTGTGCCCCAACACTAAGGGCAGGCCTTCAAAGGAAGAAACTTTAGGATCTGCAGTTCTTTGGTTTGCTTGCCATGCAGAAGGTGAAGTATTTGGTTCCTGGATTCCTGCACCATCAGCACCATGCTCCCTTGGATTCAAGGATCTACTCACAGCTGGCCATCTACCTGAAAGATCACCAGTCGGAGGCGGAACCCTTGTTGGTGGAAAAGGTGTCCGTGAGCCCATTTTCACCAGGGATGCTGAACAAACCGGTCTGGAGAACAGCGGACCCGCATATGGAGACTGACCGTGGAACCGCTCTGGATCCAGCGAACCGCCATTTGAGACTCAATCCGAACAAAATCCCAACCACAGCCAGTCATGGGTTTCATGCGGACGCGATGCTACGCGACCTCCGGGGCATTAATAGTTGAAAGGCCTTTGGCTTGTTTTAACCATCATATCCTTCTTAGAGGTTCAAACACCGGTCTTGTACGGCATGGGTCGTGACCCACCTGGAGCCTGACCAGTCCACCATGTAGCATTTCCGACCGACACCAGGTAGCTCCCGGTAACGTTTCTCCTGATGTAGGTCAACCCGCAGCCATATGGTTTCCAGATCAATCGGTTGAAAGGAGCCGAGTGACGACCTGCGGGTCTCCATGCGCCAGGCGACCTTCGTGCTACGAAGCTTCCGCAACGAGCGGCTGGTGTTGCTGAGGCACCATTGCACTTCTAGATCCTTGTCAAAAGGCCCAAAAAAGCACTTGCGGCCAAGGGAACACAGAGCAAGAGAGGCCATCCAGACATGCTGTTTGGGATCGTTTGGTTGCCAGATCACAGACTCCTGTCAGCTGGATTGCTAGTCACTCAAGCTAAACCAGCCTGACTGAACCCTCAGGCAAATCCACTTCCGGCTTCCCTGACCCAAGTGCACGCAAAAAAAGGCTGCCTCTTTTCGATCAGCTTCATAGGCAGATGCCTGAAGCTTCGAGTAACTACAACCACCCAGTAACATCCAACCCAACCCAAACAAGCTCCGGGTTACTCATGTTCGCTGTTGATCCACGTTCTGCTGGGCAGGCCGACGTCCAACGGCCTGCCCAAGCGGCTCATGGCAGAGGAGTGCTGGTGGCAGGTGGGCGCGGAGCTCGCGGAGGCTGGACGAACGAGGGTGAGCCGAGGCCAAGCAGCCAGATTCCGATGTTTGACTTCGAAAAAGTCTTCGTGTCCCGATTTCGACAGCGACAACGCATGATTTGAGACCAACGGTTGACCCTTTTAGACGAACGCGTGTTGGCCCTTGGTGAGGAGGGCCACTTAGGCTGGACAGAGACCCATCTGCTGGGACAGACGGTTTTCGCAAAAAGGCGAATTGCCTGGAAAACCTACGGCAAGACGTCCTATTTGAGCTCAGACATGAATGGCTCTGGAACAGCGCCGGAAGATGAGGACTTCCCTCAAGTGTTTGAAGACCACAGCAAGGGCTATGTTTTGGGGTTCTATGCCAAGAGTCAAGATCTGAACAAACTTCCTCCTCATGTGAAATGAGTCTATATTAGAATAGGGAGATCCCTCAAAGACAGACGAAATCCATTGCTTGGGAGGTCCACCTCATCCCATCGTCCGTCATTGCAGTCGCAAGGGCCGCTGTGTCGCACAGGTGGAAAGCGTGCAGAAGTTGGCGCTCTGCCGTTTCTACAGCAGCGATTTGCAGCCCTTCTTTCTGGCCATTGGCGTCCATGAAGCCCTTTGGATCCAGGGGGAGGCGAATCAACAAACCAACAAGGGACGCGGACATGCACACACAACAAAATGAAATACATCACAAAACGACAGGTCCGTGAAGACCTGGGGCATTTGATGGGGTGTTCTTGTTTTCTTTGATTTTGCTCCACACATACAGGATTAGCCCGGGAGATACGACCTGGTGGATACCAGGGGTATGTTAGAATCTGCAGTCTGTTGGATTAGCATTCATTCAAATGTGCAGTCCGTTGGAGGCCGGCTGATTGCATTTCCTAAGCTGGAGGACCTCCGCACAAGCGCTGGGTGCTCACAGGACATCCTTTCCTGTCAACTGTTCAGTGCCCCCTGCAGGTCACAGTGGACTTAGGTTCACATGTTCAAGCAAAAGAAGTGGCAGTAAATGGCAGCGAACTTCTTACCCGAGGCTTTCCGAGATTCGGACTCTCACCTGCAGATGCTTGTTTGATAGTAAGTCCAGTGGTGTTAACCATGATGTTCGCTTGAGCTTCTCCAGCAGCAGCTAAGTCTACCTTCTTTGCCCGGTTTGGCCCCTTGACTCTTCCCCCGGTCCAACGCGACGGCAAAGTACCTCTCGCCTATCTCACCATCACCATCAACGACAGAGAGCTGAGGGACCTCTGCAGATCCACCCGGTGTATGTTGGAGATTGCCCTGACAAGTAATATACAGTATATATATATATTATATACCTGGAACCCGTTTGACCTCTGTTCTGATAGGAAAAGACTATATTTTGGGTGGTTTGTGGTCCAAAATAGAGGTCGGACTCAGGTTCTAGGTTTATAGTACTGTAAGTCCTTCTTTTCACTCAGGAAGGGAACCTCACAACTGATTTCACCTGAAAATGGGCCTTCGCGGACCGATGCCGCCGGAGCCGCCCGGCTCTCGCGCCGCGTCGTCGGTCCGAGGCGATCTCGCGCGCGGCGCTGCGGAAGCTTCTGCAGCGGCCGGCGGAGCTCACGATGTCGAAGTGGTCGGGCCTCGATGTGGCTGGACCGGGAACCAAGGGGAACCAAGGAAGAGAAGCGAAGTCATGAAGACGTGGCACATAGGCTGCGGTCATTGAAAAGGGTGGATGGAAATTGGAGGCCGGAACTTTTTCCAGTGGTTGAAGACAACCCTTCGAACGACTAGAGATTGTTTTCCATTTGGGTATGACTGACTCTAAGACTTGAGAATCCAGTCCACTGAATCGTCTAGTGTTTTGATCCACACCACCAGTGAACGTTTTCCGTGATTAGATGGTACCATCCTGAATTTCTCGAGGCTGAATGGTTTCGCGGACGAGACGAAAAAAAACGTGGGTGTGAAACAGCGGAACCTAGTAGTAGCAAGAACGCTACTAGGGGCTCCTGGCCTTACTACTAGGAACAAGAAGCTACTAGGGGCTCCTGGCATCGCTAGCAAAGGGCCTTACTACTTTGGAACAAATAAATATAATTAGAATTACAGTAGACCATTCTCCTGTCTCTCCACCAATGCAACGAACCCATCACCGCCATCCATTCATTCATCGCATATTTCATCCACCTGCTCGTTCCGTCCATCTATCCACCCATCCACTGCAAGCCCACTTCATTTTCACCCAGGTCTCCGAGATTGAGGATTTGGGCCTCTTGCAGACCAGCAGCCACTTCCGCCCACCGGACGGGGGAGCCGGGCGTGGATCCGAACTTCTTCACAAGTGGCAGAAGTACGTTTGGATATTGAACGACGCCGAACGCATGAGAAGGGTGGAGGCCATCGCTATTCGGTTGGAGGCCAGCGCTATCAGGTTGGAGGTTGAGAAGTCTACACTATTAGATCACCAGGATCCCATACCTTTGCAATTGTACAACCATCCAATGGAAGTCTTTGTTGTGCTTTCTTTTATACTGTTAGAGAGTTGCAAGTGCTTTCCAACACTTAAAGTGGACTCTTGAGATTCATCATCCCCTCATGTGAACAGTTCTTTCTCATCCAACTGGGGGGCTTTATTGATGGAGAGACTACATCAACCAAGAGTCGACATGACTGTGAAGGTGGTTCACTGGAAAAAACGAAACCCCATGACTGAAAACACACCACGACACCGAGAGAGTGGCCGTTCCCGGTTCGGGAACCCCGGTCGACCCTTGGGCCAGTGATGCTGACCTGGTCCGACGTCATTGGTCTTCCCAGTTCGAAGGATCCTAAGTGTGGGTTGAAATCTTCATGTTTGGTACAACACATCCTGCGCCATTATATGCCGTTTGGGAAGAATAGTTGGGTTGGTTTGGTACCATTTATATGCCTATTTGTTGTACACTTGGGGTATCCCCCTATGAATCAATCAACCAATAGCAAAAGGCCATCTATGATCCTTCGGGGTACATCTTCCCGACCAGGACTGGCACGCGCCGGACGCCTCACCAGAGCCGAGTGAGGAGGAGCCACCAGGCGACTTGTGCGGCCGCCGAACTGTTTGGTTGTCATGTTGAGCGGTCGTCCTGAAATAGTACACATCTCTCAACATGTCTAGGAAAACATGTTTTAGATGTTTGGATCTCTGTCTGGTTACTTGATGTTCAATGCCAAAGGCCAAATGCACAATTTCTTGCTTGCTCGTGACCACATGCTAGGTATAGATGTTCACTATAAGGCTTGACATTTGATTGAACTTTTCTTGTAAGCTGCTTGCTTTTGCCCACAAGCTACTCAGGTCAGGAAGTATTTTGTGACCACGGAGGTTCGTTTCTTCGTTCGAAGAACCGAAGAGGTTTGGTCTTGGAGGGCAAAGGAGCACAGTTGGTCTTGGTAAACCTTCAAGGTCGACTTGGTTTCGAAGCTGCTGGAAGCCGTTGAACACCCCTGGTCGACCCCGGGACGTCTCTGAATGGTGTGGTCCACCCCTGGTGTGGTCCGCTAGGTCGAGGTGAACCACCGATGGCAGCGGCCTTGCTCCAAAAAGTTCCGCAAACGGCTCCAGTGTCCTGGAGAGTTTTGCTTTTTGGGCTGCTAGATGGCCCCTTTGTGCCACATTAATTAATGTGGATGGTCTTTGGGTTCAATTGGAATCCTTGAATCCTTGCCGTCGCCCAAAGGTCAAGGCAATCTCGAAACCTCACTGCAAACCTTGGCAGAAGGAACGGGAAACAACCTCAGAAATCCTAAGAACAAAACTTAACCCACCCTCAATCCAAATCCTCCCGATCTGTGAGTTCCAGGCACCTCAGCCTCTCCGCCCTTTCAGCCTCCACGGCGAAGCGATCCCCATGTACCAGCCATGCGGACCAGGGAGGAGACGCGGACCAGGTCGATGGATGGGGACGCGCCGAGAATCGAAGAAGAAGATGCGCTCGATGCACTCCCAAAACCTTTCTCACATCACACACTACGAACGTCACAAAGGGCATCGCTACGAACGGAGCGATCGGACGCTACGAACGGGGCTCCTGGCATCGCTACTAGGAACAATAAGCTAATTGAAACAAGAATTAGAACTAGCAGTGAGATTGGCCTCCAAAACTTGAGGTTGATCCATCACCCACGCACCAACATTTCTATTCAAGGGGGGTGTACCCCTCCTCCCCTTGGTGGAGATGGTTAGGGTATGTTAGGGTGATGTTGATCCAATTTCGCCAGACTCATCGGCGATCGATTTCGCTTGTTGATCGCTCCAGGAGCTTGAGCGCTTGCAGCGAGAGGAGGAGGAACGCTCCCATGCCCAACGCTCGTCTCGGCCCAACGCTCGCGTGCTCCGTGGACTGGGTTCAGGCGGACAGGCTGGATGCAGAGGTATCTTGGCGGGTGGAAGAAGTGTCTGGGATGGAGCAGAGATGATTGGATGTTCATAGAGTACTGCAGACTCTTGATTATATTCCAACCAACCTCTTCAGGATTGTAAAACCTCTTCAGGCCGGGAGTGTTGAAATGTATTTCAATAGTCTACAGTATACAAAGAAATGCCTATGGGCTCATGGACAGACATCTTTCGGGGCAAAGAAGGTCCCTCTTTCAGCGACTCTCGACAACTGGACTAGTCAGTGGTCACCACCCTTGTGGTTAGGAATGCACGGGGTATTTATTGACAAGGTGAACAAGTACATGACCTGCTTTGACGACGTCAAATCGAAAGGACATATCACCTCCCACGACAAGAGTACGTGTTACATAAATGGTTTATACATGTTTGATGTATTCCCTACATACTCCACATCTACTCTATACCGTCTATACTTTGATTCCTTGGTCCGAATGGTCTATTTGCACCATATTGCAATGTGCTTTTATCAGCTGCAACTTAGGTAGCGTTGATGCTGGTCCGGTGGATGCTGGGTCGGCTGCTGCTGCAGAGCCTGAAGAGGTTGGGGTGAGAGAAATTGGGGACTGCGCCAGCTGCAAAGAAGTCTTCTTTGTCGAATGGCCGTGGGTGTCGGGCCCCCCCCCAAAATCGCTGTAGATCGTCACCAATGAGTTCTGGGGATCTACCACCAACGTCAACTGTCGATTGCAAGCGATGTCGTGATCTCCGGTGGATCCTCGTTCGGACCTCCAACGCAGGGCGAGGGCGAGGACAACGAGGCCATCCCGGTCTGTTCCGCGGCGGTTGAACGCTAAGACCGCTGGCACGGCTTCGGCATCTCAGATGGAATCTGCTTGGTTCAAGAAATGACCAACGGATTGACGCTCTTCTAGGCAGGGTTTCCGGGGCTAGAGAGTTGTGACCCAGACCCGAGTGGACCATGGTATCCCATTCCTCTTTGCCAGGCACGCCAAACTTGCCAGTTCCATGGAACCACTATACATACATCATACATATACATCTTATGTGTATATATATATGTTGACTTCGAGCATTCGGCATGAGCATCCACCATGTGCTTGTTTTGATATATATATATATACACACACACATGGACTTATTCTCACGTGACACTAAAGCGCAGAATGGACCAACACCGGCCTCTGCTTGCTAGGACTTGTGTCTTCGCATCCCGCGACATGATGTAGCCAGTCTCACCAGTACTTCAGTGACATGGTAGGCAAAGCACAGCATGGCATGGCCTAGCCGTGGCGTAGCAGTGGCATAGCACGCTCGTGTATCGCCTGTGCGAACGTGCTCCACATACCATGGCCATAGCACCGCCGCATAGGGCTTGGAGGAGCTGCAGCGGCGCCTGCAAGAGCTTCAGCTGGAAAGTCGTCGTCAGCAGCAGGACGAGGGTTCTGCTCCAGATTCCTTGTTTTTTGGAATGCAACATGGTGTTTATTTTCCACATATATATATATATATTTATGTTATTTTTTTTTTAGTTTTATTGGTCGGTGATGAACGCCCCTGATTGGTGTTTTGCTCTGCTAATGGGACTACTGACCACAGCCCAAAGGCGGGACCGCGTTTTGAACTGCGGCAGTTGCGTTTGAAACTGACTGCGGCATCATTGTCTCGTTGTCCTGGACTCCGAGACCAAGTAATTATAGGTGGTGGTCCTGGTTTGCACATGATTGACTGCCCAGAGGAGGTTTGTTCCTCTTTTCTTGGATGTTTCGGCATTTCTTTAGCAGGACTTATCCCCCATTTGATCTTTCTAAAGTGACCGAATGAGAGTCTGCACTATGACGTCGCCTCCAGGAGTCCTTCGAACTTCGTTCTCGCTGGGCTCAGGCGGAACGCGGCACAGACGCGTTCTCAGACGGTGTTTCGGATTCGTCGGACTCGTCAGACGGGGAAACCGCAGCACGAGGCGCCTGAGACCCGCGCATGGCTGACCTCCTGAAACTCCCTCCGCCTGTTCGGGCGTTCATCGACTGTTTGTGACTGTCGGGTCCCTTTTTTCTTCGGACGGTTGGGAAGACGAATTTCTTTCAGGAAACTTGAAGCCTTTCAGGCTTTTAGGTCGGTTTTATGACTCTTCGACGGACCATGACACTTGTTAAAACCCAACTTGATCCAGGAATGTGGAGAATGAAGGATTGAACGACTCTGGAACCCTCATGAACGTGTGGTCAGATCGGTGTGGTCAGAGCCTTCCGTTGTCCCGATGGTGACCGGCTTTGTTTCGGTGATGACAATCGATTCGGCGGAGGTGTCACGGGGGGTCGCAAAACAGATACTGACAGGCATCAGACCCCAAATTCCACAATCTGGCTGGGATCCTGTATGACTGACATGCCAATCTGAAGCAGAGACTCAAGAACCAGGGGTTCAGGCTCCAGTCATGAGAAGAGCAGTGGCCCTTTTGTTAATTTTGAAAGTCAATCCTTTACTCACGCATGCCATGGTGCACTTGGTTTACGACAGTTGTGGCCCCGTACAGGCAGAAGATGATGCTGAAAGATACATGTGACTTGGACAACGTCAGCGCATCAGTGCGGACGATGTCAGTCGATTCTGAACTAACAGGATCACTCAGCACTGCCATCACGGTCCGACCAACAGATGTTAGAGCCGTGGTGGCTCTGTTGGTTTGTCACCGGTCTCGAACATCAATTCAGCTTGGCGAATCATTCTTCCGGCAAATTGCCCACCAATGGAAGAAATTCCATATCTCAGCATGGCATAGCATGGCCAGTTTGCATGGCTTGTGTCCCGAGGAAGATCTTGCGGGAGTTCTGGGCTGCCGATGAGTCGTTGCGGACGCTGGGGTGAGAGATGCTGACTGAAGTGCCAAGACCATCCAAGACCCCCGAAAAGACAGCTAGGTGTAGGTGGTTTGCATACAGTGCCCCAAGTGACCAGAAGCAACCATACCCCATCTACTCTTGGAATAACTGCCATGCTTGATGATTGGAGATCCGAAATCCGAACTGGTCTTCAATCCATGGATTTGCACACCCCCCAAAAGGGAGCTTCAGAGTCCACTTGGTAGTCAAAGGGACAAACCCTGAGGCAAGGTTCGTAAGTGGAATTTGTGGGCATTTCAACCACATGTGAGCTCTTTCTTGACTTTCCAACTAGGGCGTTTTCTGATAGACATAAACCGCCACCGAACTGTTTTGATTGGTGCTTAGTGCTCAGTTTGCAACATCAATCAAGATCAGATCTCTGCAGTGACTGCAGTGATTCCTCCCTTCTTTTGCCCATGTATATTCTTGGGGGGCTCCCTTGGCAGTGAACCATCAAGTGGCCCTGACAAGGATTCTCATAGGACGAAAGCTGCTTGGGTCTTGGATTGCTGAATCAGAGGACGGCCATCTGCGCTCCCTGTGTGGGAGATGGTCGTCGACGAAAAAGGAGCGGGGTCGACGGATTTTCATCGACGATCACATCGTCTTCACGTCGATGACGTCGATCGACTTGGAGATGGTCGTCGAGCAATCAGGGTCTCTCAACTTGGCGAAAGTGACTTCAACTGAAAGTAGAACCAGGAGCAGCAGGAGTAGGAGGAGTGGGAGGAGTAGGAATAGGTTGTTGTTGTCGTCGTCGCTGCTGCTGCTGGTTCAGGCAGTCACGATCCTGGTCTAGCTACCGACAGAGGCATATTGGGCATGGACTGGTATGGGTTCACTATCACAATCTTGACCCTCACGAGTTGTCTTGTTTTCGTCCCGGTCCCAACTTCCAGTCTTCAACCCCCAATCACCAGCTCTCGCGCGCGCGCGATCCCTGAAGACGTGAGGGACACGACACCAGCTCTCGCGCGGCAAGAAGCCGCCGGGACACCCTCGCCGAGGCACTGTTGGCACAGATCTTCTGCCAAACAAAGGCCGTCCGCCCTGGGGGGTCGGACTGGAGAGAGGCCCCCCTGAAGTTGCCAGTCCAAAAGAGATCAATGTAGGTGGCCAAGTTTTGGGTTGTGTGTTTGGCGCAGACTTGTTGATTTTGGACCAAGCACGTGGCATGACTTTTTCGTGACAAGTCGGTTGGATCGGTTTTCAAAACTTCGGCTGTCCCCAAGATCTCCTGCCAACCATTCAGAGATTAAATGAGATTTTGAGAAAAACACTTCGGTAGCGATTAGTTACGTTCTCTGATTTCGGTCTCCGGTCTCCAAGTTAGATTGAGGGTTTTCCACCTTCTTCTTGCCATCCATCGCTGCAGGTCACCTCGCTGGGGCAAACCCCCAGTCACTGGTGGGCCAGGGGGCTCGGCTGGGGTGAAGCTTTTTCTGGCGGTGTTCTTTTGTTTTCCTCCCAACTGGACAATTTGTACTTGTGCAGAGCAGGTCATGCTTCTTCAATACATTTCACTAGCCAAAATGCATTGCCATTTTGGCTCAAGGTCTGGGCGCTAGTGTGCCTTTTGTGAAACACTTTCACTTTGCGCTTTGCCATGGAGACTCGCGACTGGGAATCTCTGGATGATGTGGAGACTGTGACTTCCATCACCTTCGCAGCCTCTCTGAGACCCGACCCTGCAGAGAGGCGCTGTACGACCACGGAATGCTCCCCCCAAGAAGCATGCCACCAAGCACGGGCACCCCCTGCCTTGGAGCAGGAAAGGAGCCTGGAGTCTTAAAGGCACTTCAAGAAGCTGTGCGTTATTTCCGGCATCTTCACAAAGCATCGAGTCATCGACTCATCCTCGGCCCGGCCAGCAAATTGGAGCCCACAAAGGGTGACACGATGAGGGAACCTCCAAGCACTCACAGGCTTTCACACCCTATCGCAAAGACAACCACCAACCAGGGCGTCCTCTGGGCCTTCTGCCTGGGCCAAGAATCTGGGCCCGGAAGTCGTAGTTCCTTTTTTTTGCTTGTATGGGCCACCACTTCGGGACAGTGCCCCGCATCGACGCCCACCGGAATTGCCCCCCGAGGTGGCCCGGCTCTAGCACTACACTCTTCCTTGCCTTGCTGTTAGTTGTCTTGCAAGTGAGGCGGGTGATCCGACTGGGCATACCCCCGCACTGTCCAACGCGGAGTTCCTGTGGGCGTATCGGCGCCCGCCCTCTCTTTTTGAGGGGTGTGGCCTACCAAGCAAGAGCTCAAAGGGGAACTGGACACCTTTGAGGGGTTGGAGCTCCCCAAATGTCGTTCTGGCTACACCTTTGCAGAGGATTTTGCACCCAATAACCTTCCAAGATGAGAAGCTCCCGGGCATGATGGACGGACCCTTCAGGCAGGAGATGGCGGCGAAGGTCTGCGGCTGCTCCCCAAGACTTGCGCCCAGATCCGATGGCAGCCATTGATGAAGGGAACAAGGCGCGTACCATCTACAACGGCAACCCTCCTGAGCATGGGCGTGTCTTCCGAGAAGAAGGATGCCACCCAGCGGGGGCACAACAAAATTACTTTACTTCGAGTGATCCCCACCATGACATTTCAATCATTTGACTTGATGCCATAGTGAGGAGCATGTTGCCATGGTCGTGAGTATTGTAGCTCTCGATTTTGCTTGTGGGTCCTCGGGTTGTGTGCTGCGGTTGTGTGTTGTGGTTGTGGTTGTGTGCTGTGTTGTGGTTGTGGTTGTGTTTGTGATTGTGTGTTTGTGGCTGTGTGTTTGTGATTGTGTGTTTGTGGATGTGTTTGCGGTTGTGCTTGTGGCTGTACGTTTGTGGTTGTGTCTTTGTCGTCGTGTTGTTGTGGTTGCGTGTTTGTGGTTGTGTCTTTGTGGTCGTGTTGTTGTGGTTGCGTGTTTGTGATTGTGTGTTTGTGGTTGTGTTTGTGTTTGTGTGTTGTGGTTGTGTGTTTGTGGTTGTGTTTGTGGTTGCGTGTTTGTGGTTGTGTGTTTGTGGATGTGTTTGTGGATGTGTTTGTGGTTGTGTTTGTAGTTGTGTGTTTGTGGTTGTGTTTGTGGTTGTGTGTTTATTGTTGTGTCTTTGTGGTTGTGTGTTTGTTGTTGTGTTTGTGGTTGTGGTTGTGGTTGTGTTTGTGATTGTGTTTGTGGTTGTGTGTTGTGGTTGTGATTGTGCTTGTGATTGTGTATTTGTGATTGTGTGTTTCTGGCTGTGTTTGTGGTTGTGTGTTTGTGGTTGTGTGTGTGTGTGGTTGTGTCTTTGTGGTTGTGTTGTTGTGGTTGTGTGTTTGTGGTTGTGTTTGTGGTTGTGTGTCTATTGTTGTGTCATTGTGAGTGTGCGTTTGTTGTTATGTTTGTGGTTGTGTGTTTGTGGTTGTGTGTTTGTGGTTGTGTCTTTGTGGTTGTGTTGTTGTGGTTGCGTGTTTGTGGTTGTGTGTTTGTGGTTGCGTGTCTATTGTTGTGTCTTTGTGGGTGTGTGTTTGCTGTTATGTTTGTGGTTGTGTTTGTTGTTGTGTTTGTGGTTGTGGTTGTGGTTGCGTGTTTGTGGTTGTGTTTGTGGCTGTGTGCTTGTGGTTATGTGTTTGTATTTGTGTGTTTGTGGTTGTGTTTGTGGTTGTGAGCTTGCGGTTGAGGTCCAGGGGTGCACACTGCGATCGGATCCTTGCGG